TTCTAAATTTATGTTAAAATCTAAACTACAATACAAGCATTATTTCTGCACAATCAATGGCCCCATACGTCATTTAATAGACTCATAAAAGGGACCTTTGCTAAGCCAACCCAGCAATAGAATTTCTTTAACCTTCTCGTTTGCTCTCTATACCAAAAAGTAAACTGACAGTGAAGATGTTCCAGGTTTAAACAATTAGGAAGGTTTGCTAACATTGAAACTTAAGCATTTGTGTTATCATTTACCCATTTAAATCTGGATATAGGATAAAATAATTTCACAAACAAACTCACTTCCTAAATCAGATGTCTCAGCAGGTCCTGTCTTTACATTAGTTTAGTTTGATTTATCAGTTAACTCTGTGAAACAAATTAAGAATTTTAAACATCTCAGCTGCTTCTGCGGCTTAGATTGGCTAAAAAACAGGTAAGCTAACCAATAAGCTCATTCAAAGAATTGTACTGAATGTCCCTCCCTTTTTTGAACACTTTCTACAGGATGCTGCTCAGATTGATAAATGTAGTTCAATTTGAATTCTACATCCATCAGGCTTATGCCAGGTTAGTAGAAAGTTATCCATTGGTGAGAGTGCAGGAGGCAAGCTAATTGGAAACACCGGTATTGGTCCTTCATCCTTATAAAAAGGCTTAGGTGCTGTGTAGCATCAGAGGGATATGGGCTTATTTCTCCCCTCACTTTTGTCATGGTTATTTTTTTCAGGTTTTGCTTTGACTTGATTTGGTTTATTTTAGCCCAGTTTGCTTAGTTTAACTCTCAACATTTTCAACCATCACTTGTCCTGATTGCCAGATTTAGTCAGAGTCTGTTCTTATGTGTAAACTTAAATTACTTAGATTGTCCAATCAGTGCAGCTTAATATCAGACACAGATCAAAAACAAATAGGTGATTATGAATGGCTATTTCATTTATCAAAAGAACAAAAAAACAACACAAAAACAAATTGATCCAATGTGAACAACCAAATTCACTTTGTTTTTTAATGGGTTTATGGTGAATAACAACATCCTAGAATTTTAACTGTCCTGCATGATTAAGAGATCTTTCAATAAAAAACTATCTAAAGACACAGAGTTGGATAAAGGGCCAAAAGCAAGACATAATTCCAAAATAAAATGCAATATAAAAATAAATGAAAATAAACTTCCTGTCATCTGTATGTCTGGAAAGGGCTACAAGCCATTTGCAAGACCTAAACCCCAGCAAAATATGTTGAGAGCCTTTATCCACTAAAAGCTTATCTTGTCCCTTAACACTTCACAGTGACAACAGTAAGAATGCTATCCTGGGTAGGAAAGAAACTGTAGACTGCTGTGCTGAATCTGGAAAGCCTTATGGATTAGTGGCAAAGACATATGAATAATACTAATCACTTTAGGAAAACATAAAAAGAAAAACTACACAAAAGAAAAGCTAAAACAGTGCATTTACTTTCCTCTTCCTACCTCCTTCCTTACTGCCAACACTATTCAGAGAGCACATATCTTGGCAACCACTAATGAACTTTCCCTTTTGGTTTAAGTGTCTTTACACATTTGATCTGTTCAGAAGCATGTTATTTGCATTGTGATGGACTATTTTGCTAATTCAGGACCTGGTAAACTTGTTATTTATGGAATCGTGAATTCTTATCTGTCATAAACAGTTGCAAAGGACGATTACCCTCCAGCAGATTGTGACCTCAAGCTCAAGCATACTTGGGTTAAGCATGAGGACTTTTTTACAAAGCATACCAACATGTTCACCTTTGCACAGTTTGGAATTGCCCAGTCAAAGTCTAGACTTGACTAGTTGGGGTTCAATTATTATTTTAAGGTTTAATTTGGTTTGTCGAGCCCCTCCCCTCCCCATATGACTAAAATCATAATTTTAAACCAATCTTTGTACTTGTTCTGATTAATTTTTTAGATTCAAATTTTTTAACTCATAAATTTTCAGTTTGAGAAAAACAGTAAGACAGAGAAAAATCTGTAAGAGGGCAAATTCTTTCTCACCACACTCTGACCAAAGCTTTTCTTTCATCTGTCTCTCTTTTTGCCTTGCTTAATGTTTCTGTAGTGCTTGTACCAAAGGCAATGCAGATTTTCTAAGCTGTGTCTTGTGATTAGCCATTCTAAAACATGGTTCTTGGATTTCTAAGAAGTCTGGATCTGTTTTATTTTCTTTGTATCTGATCCCTTTGGAGTTTATTCATAGAAAAAATGGCTATTCCTGCCTTACAGATGACTGCCAGATTTACTTTCCTTAGACACCTAATAAACCATGCTCCATCAAACCCTATTATCTTGTATTGAGGACATGAAGCTTGGATAGCTTTGCATTTTCAAAGTTTGAAATGAAAGGACAACAGAGGTTGTTTCAAACAGGCCAATACAGTCTGAACCTTACACAACCCAGTTACTAATAATGGTTGCCTGGAGCTGTACATCAAACAATGCAACAAACCTGGGATTTATTATGGAGCTGGATTTTTTGGGATATCTGATAAACACATTAGCTTTACTTTTCAGAGAAGTTTCTTCCAGTTACATAAGACAAATGGCAAAACTTCAGCTGGTTTTCTCCATGCATTACCTGGAGAAAATAGTACGTGTTTATCTCAGTTTATCTTAACAACTGGAATGCACGTTATGCTAGGGTTGGTCAGGCTTCATTTTCACACCTTCAGCTTTTTCAAAATGCGGATGCCTGTATTTTTCCCTATCTTTGCCCACATCTTTCCAGCTCTGTCCTCTCTATATTTCCTCCGTATGCATCGTGGAGTGAATGAGAAAATCCTGATGTTGGCTTATAAAGGCTTAAACGCCCTTGCTCATCTAAGACTCCCTGTTTTGCTCCAGGCTCGTCTTTCTTCCAGTCCCTTAGATTACTCAACCAGCTGCTTTTAGTTCTCCCCAAAACAAGACAGAAACTTAAAGGAGATCTCTTTTTCTTATTGTGGCTCCTAAACTTTGGGAGCTTTAATTGTTAGACAGACATCTGTGCTTCCTGTTTAGAATTCCCTTTAAGAAACAAATCTTTTTTCAATGGATTCAGTCATATTGTGAATTGAGATGCTCCTCTAAATGGCTCTATTTTCATTAATGTTTTAATATAATTATTGTTACAATTATCATATTTTTTCAGTATATCACTCTTGATAAACCTTTTTTTTTAAATTAAGTTTATAAATACTTTATAAATACATTGGATTAGATCCCAAATATGCCCGACATCCAGTGTTACAGTACAGTGCAAATAAAGATTTGTCACCCATTTAATTGCATTGATCTCTAAAAGGCAATATCTTTGCAAGATATTTTCATGAATCTAAAGCTTATTTTATTTTTTACTCAAAAAAACATATGCATCCCACATCATTTTTTTAACTGACTTTACCTATATCTCACATCAAACTCTAATTAGTAGTTGGTAAGATTGACAAATGAATACATTTCTCTGCTGGACACAGCACACAACCAATGATTAGTGCATTTAAGTGATCCAACACCTCAGTTTAGGTTTCTTATTTTTATTCCTTAATATTCATCTCACATTTTTACCTGCATTCACTCTTAGTTATATTAGATTAGTTATATGCTACATAGCAGCAAAAGGTTTGATGTCTATGTGACCACACTGCATGGCTTTTAGTAAAATCTGGCAACAATAAAACACAAGCAAGTAGTTTGTGAAGAGCACCAAAGCGGTTTAGGATAGCCAGGTTTCATTATCAAAGATCTTCAGGGATCATTTAGAGCCAAGCCGTTAAAAAGCCTCGTAATAAGGTCAACGCATTCCATTAGGATGACTTTCAATTCTTAAAGACGTTTCCTGCAGAGCAGCTGCTTTACAGACTTATAAGGAGTTCAAAAATGAGTTAGCGTCACTGCACATACACACCTGCAGTACTGCATTTTTTTATTTCATTGATTAGTAGATATTCACAAACACTAACATATGGCAAAACCTGTGAATATGATAAATATTATAGTCAGCTTTTTCTTAAGTTTATCATCCCATTAGTTAGGTGTCAAACAGCAGATCAAACACATATAACCTTTTCAAGCTTATATAGTAATGTGTTGAAATCTGTCAAAAGTTTGTTTTCCTATAGCCTTTAACACCAGATAATAGGTTTGAACCTCATCCCTCCTCTAAAATCATTGACTTATACATTCTTAACCTAATAAGCAGTTTCTATTTTTGAATTTTCTTTTATAGAAGTCTATATTTAATCAATTCATATAGATGAGATTTGTCAGGTTTTTGTTTTTTGGAAGAAAATACACCTCTTGAAAGTCTGTAATACTCTTTAGACAGAAAAGAAGCCGATTGGAGGAGCTACAATCTCCTGTTTGTTTGCATTGAAACCATTATTTGTCTTGATTAACCCAGTTTTCTACTCTTATAATCCTGGTATTGTTTAACGACGCAGCATATAGGCGCAACTTTCCAAAAGCTCTGCGTCAAAAGTACATATTGGAAAAAAAAAGACAGTAATGTATTGGGATTTTTCACAGTTTACGAGCTCAGGCGCGAATTTCGTAATTCTTATGATATTCAGAAAGCACAAATAAGAGCTTGTTAAGGGGTGAGACCTACAAAACTCTTCAACGAGGGAACAAAGGGCCATTAAATAGAGGGTCTATGCCACAAGCGGCGGCTGCTCCTCCCCCTGATTTCGCTCCCCACAGGCATAAATCTCAACCCAAAGCACAGAAACGCATTACAGCCTTTCATACAGAGAGCCTATTTATCAAGTTGGGTAACTTTTTTGCAGTTAGAGGTCACCTCAGCACAAAAGGCGCTGGCCCAAACGCAGAGTCCATCCAACGGTCAAACAGATCACAATGGAGATTCTCTGCAGGCTTTCAGATATTTAAAAGTGTAAGGACTACAAATGACATGACTAAAGACAGATGAGGTGATGTTTTTAATAGACCAAGGAAATCTAACCGTGCAGTTTAGGGAAAAAAAATGACACTTAGAAACTCCTTACCAACTGACGCCTCAGCGTCAGGTTTTCCTGGCCCCAGCTGCTGAAGCATTCCAGTTCTCCTCTGGAGCCATCCTGGGCCAGAGACTCACCCAGAGCCAGGGCTCCCAGCACCAGACGCTCCTGCCTCTGTCTGCGCAGCTCCAGCTCACACAGCCCAGCCAGACTGGCCTCCAGGCGCTCCTTGGTCCGACTGCGCTCAACGGTTGCTGGGAAGGAGAGCGCACGCTGCATCTCCACCCAAATAAAGTCTGCTGTTAACAATCAATCAATAAAATTAATTATAATAAAAATCCAAATGTCAGCTTTAAACTCTGTTGTTTTCTGAAGTCCGGATTGCCCAGGTTTAGGAGGGCAAACGCAAACTACAGAGGGTCCAACTCTATCTTATTCCTCATGATAGCGCGGCTGTCTTGGAGCAGCGGCATGGTTTCTCTGTCCTCCTCTGCGCTGCACATTTTTTTTGGCTTGCAGCTGTCAAACGCATCCATGGAGCCCCGCCCTCCGCGGAGCAGCCACGGGGGGAAATTGAGGGGACTCACCCCCCCGCCTCCCCCCCACTTTCCCAACCCTTTTTTGTAAAATCAGTTTTTGCAGTATTGGATCCAGGAGGCTAGGCTGAGGTGCTGAGCTGCAAAGTGTCCCATCCCCCTTGATTCTTTACAGTGACGCGTCGACCTCACCCATCCTAGGACTAATGGACTTTCAAGGGGGATGGTGTATTTCCAGGATCAAAACACTGGGATCTGGAAATATATTTCATGTGCTTAAAACAACAATAATAAAACAAACCAAATCAACATGAGACGCGTCAAGTAGCGTCAAGAGAGAAGCAGTTTTGACAGATTTGTGTCTCAGCATAATATTGTTTAAATTATTCAGACTCATTAAGCCTGCGGTGGGATTTAAGTTAATTTTTCCAAACTATTCCCTCTTCTAATGATCCACATTTTATAAGCAAATTGGAACACATTTAGATTTCAATAAAAAGGGTCAGATTATTGAGAAAAAGTCAGAATGTCAGGAAGTTCTGGCTAAAAACACAACAGTCATAGCTAGATAAAGATCCTAAAAATACAATCATATCAAACAGATGTGGTTTTTGAAATGCTCTGATTTGGTAAGTAGCTATAGTGTCATGATCTTTGGGATGTTGGATTTGTGTTATGCCTTATTTTGGAAAATTAACCATTTTCTCCTGTTTCCATATTTCGTCTTATCTCTCATCTTTACCCCATTTCTGACCAACCCCCTCCTCCGTGTTCTCTCTCTCAGATAGTCACTTCTTGTCCAGATTTTTTCCTGTTACACCAGGATCTTCCCTTTCCTTCTCCTGCCTCTTTTTTTAATCCTGATCTACACCAGTCTACGACAGTAGCAGACTGATGATGGGTCTCAGAATGATAAAGTTGTAATTTGAAAAGAGATTATATCTTACTCTAGGAAGTAATATCATTATAATGCACCAGGCAGTCACTAGTATGTGATTAAAAGGCTGTCAGACAAAGATGGTGCTTTAAAGATGCATTAGGCAGCAACATTGTGGGATTACGTAAAATGTAAACTGTGAACCAATGCCAGGTTCTGGTACCTGCCCTATCAGTCTATTGGAGGCAACAGCGAACCTTAATCCAGGCTTGAAATACCAGGGACATTACAATCTGGCGACAGGTATCAGGAGGTATAATAGTTTTTCAGCTGTTTATGTTTTCCTTTGGAGCTATTTTGTAGATGTTAGCCATTCTTTCCTCCTTCTCCGCTGCTCCACATTTACTAAATTCATTTCACCACTAATGTACCTCTAACTGTATGTATATATGTATATATAGTAATTTTTTTTATTCTAAGGTCTTTTATCTGCAGAAAACAATGAACATGACAAAAAAATAAATAAATAACTGCATTGGTTGGAGCCATTCTGTGTTTCTGTTAATGACACAAATCTTTGCTTCATATAGTTTCCTTTTACTGTATCTCAGATGTATTTAAGTTCATGTTTCTGTCTCTTCATGGTCAATTCATGCTGTCACCCCGTTTCAAGACTCTTCATTCTTATTATGGACGTATAATAATTTCTGTCAGAACACTACAGTTAGAATCCACATAAATAGAACTCAGACAAAATGACACAAATAACTTTCATAAGAATTATAAGACACATCAAGAGGAAAAGTGGATCTCCTAAAGCAACCAAAATAATTTAAAAAAAATCCCAGAAGAGAAGTATGAAAATACCTGGGGCTTGTTTTGGATGTAATGAACATAAATTGTTTTCTTAATGGAAGTTGGATAAACAACTCATAGCCTTGGTGGGTGGGATCTGTGTGTGGCATGTTAGATTTTTTTTCTCTACTAGTGTAAAATAAAACTTGTCTAAATCTAGTAGTTGGCATCCTTCGACTCTCTATGCTGTCCTCACCACCTGGGCTAAGTCCTTCTCCAGTGCTGTGCAGCTCCTGAACCTCACTGAACACAGGAGGCTTTCCTCCATGGCCCTGTAAAAGTTATCTAGTTCTCCAGATCATTTTAACCTTCTGAAGGGCACTCAGAAATTCATTGATATTTGAAACGTTAAAAAGAGTACTTTAAGGGCTAAAATCAGGGTAAATGAAATTTAACAAAAACAGTCAATTGCCCTTATGATTAAAATTCCAAAGAATTCTTCTATTAGAAATTCATGAAATTAATTACAGAAGGAAACAATATTTTTTTTTCAAACAACATAACCCTCAGAACATTATTGCTGACACATGAATTTAATTTGTTTTACTTTTTAACTTAAAGGTATAGTGGAAGATCTTCGCGAATTTTTGAAACTTTAAAAAAAAAATGAACATGCACAATTCTCTAGTTGGCCCCAAGAGGGAACGCCTAGGGAACGCTTAGCTTTAAAAAAAAAACTTTATTTACAGGAGACAACATATCAACCGCAGTAAGCAATGTTAGATAACAGGTGTTTTTTTTTTATGCAGCATTAAGACAGATGTGGGCCTAGCAGACCCTGTTGACCACATTTGATCTCATGATTTTGCCTTGTTTGCTGCAAACGAGTTTTTATATCAAAGTTACCAAAAAAGGAAACATGTATGATAAAGGGTTAACCCTTTAAAAGTAGGCCTCTGCCAAAATTTAGTGGTGTGTTTATTCCTTCCCAACCAGCTGCAATCTACAATAGCAATCTTGGTCGTGCTGTCTTTCAGAGTGAGGTTGTTCTTGGAGCTTTGTTGTGTCAGATTATCGATCTCCTCTCTGTAAAGAGGCTCATCATTGTTTCATCTTTTTTTTTGTTTTGTTTGATATGATACTCACCATAGTGGTGTGTGGTGGATGGCCAAGCAGTCATGTATGAGAAGAGGGCAGAGCTGAGAACACAACCCTGCGGTGTGGCGGTGTTGAGAATGAGTGGAATAGATGTGTGTTTCCCTATTCCACCTGAGTCCTTATTGGTGAGGAAGTCAGTGATCCAGGAGCAAAGCTGTGTAGATAAACTCAGGCTGTGGAGCTTCAGTGAAGCATGTCAGGAAGGCTAGTGTTAAACACTGAGCTGAAGCCCACAAGAAGCCCCCTAACATCAGTGTCAGAATGCTGCCGATAAGTCAGTGCTAATGAGAGCATCCTCCAAAGGGCCACCCTCCCTGCAGGCGAGCTGCCAATTCTCTCTGTAGCCTATTTTAGCCAGTATCATTGAAATCTATTCTTTGAACATGCCCCTGCTGATGTCTTTAATCCTTTGCCACCTCACAATATGGCAGAAACAAGAGCGGTCTAACAAATGTGTCCATGACCAAATATATAATCCAGGATAAATTTTACTTACACTGCTAAAATATCCTAAAACACCTTTGTGTAGAAGAGAGCTACCAAAAGAACAGGGCAAAATTTTAATTATTCAATAGTTTCTTTAAAGTAATTTGGGAAGCAGAACTTTTTTTTCTAACATACTATTAACTGGAATATCACGGAAATATGATAATTGCTAAATTGCAAATGATTTATATCAAACGAGAAGACAAACACTGGTGTTAAGAACAGCTGCATGTTGAGCGTTATATATCTTTGGAAACTATTAGCATTTTAGTCAACAGGTTATCAGAACTTTATGTTTTCTTTCTTTAACCAACTAAACCCACTTTGGGATAACATATGGTGGCTTTACTGCAAAATACAGTTTTTTGACATTATATGTTGCTGTCAGGAAAATAAGATAGGACAAACCTTGGGGGAATGAAGAGGGACTAGAGTCAGCACACCCCCTCTTTGGACATCTCATGTAAAATATTACCTATTGTCACTCATGTAAAATATTCTTTTCTCACTGTGCAATAACACATGCCAACTACTGTGTAGCCCATGCAATTTTTTCCTTCTTTTATACGGTAAGTACATTTCTGCAGTGCAAGTGCAATTAGCCAAGTCAACTACTATGTAGTCTTCCCTTAGCTTTCTACTGTGCAGATATTTTTATATCTAAGGGAAACATATTCCAAGACATTGAAACATTACTTTTTTTTGTGTTTTTTTTTGTACTGTATGCACTTTTTTTCTTATATTTTTTCTGTGTATTTTTATCTTTAATTGCATATTGCTTTAACTCTTTGTACTCTATATAAGCTACTGGAACAAGAATTTCCCTGAAGGAGTAATCACAAGGAATAAATAAAGTTGAGTCTAAGTCTAAGTCTAAACTGCAGATTTGCATTATTGGTCTTTTAAATGAAACACACAACAATAATATGCAGAATGTAATACTGTAGGACCATAAGTGTCTTTTTTTTATTGAATTAAAAGATAAAGTCATTTGATTAGAACACGCCTTCTGTCAAGGCTTTTTTTTGGGCAGATTTTGCTCTAATCTAATATTTTAACTTCAAGTGTTGTGCTTTCATTGATTCTAAAAGGAAATCATCATCATTAATGAGGCTTGAAAAAAAGGTACCGGTATGTATGCAATAACTCTGTGTTTCACTTTATGAAATAGCCTTTCAAATATTTTAAATGATTAAATAGTATATGACTCTATCTCTGTATTTAAAAAAAAGAAATTGTCAGGTTAGTCCACAACATGGGCTTTAACAACACAGTATATACAGTAGATATTAACAGCCAGTCTATATAACAGCATTTCAAGTGAGGAAAGTAAGTCTACCGTCACTGACTGGTAAAAGTTATAAAAGCTGCAATTCCCAAAATAACAGCTTTCAGAACAACATGAATTAACAATTAGATTTTATTCCACACCACAGTGACATATTAATATTTCATACTCATATGTCATGCAATCCAGTTCTACTCTTTGTGGAGTCTCCTGAGGCGATGCACACGTTACCTTCTGTGCAGCCTTTTGCAAAATCTGAGGTTCCCTTTTAAATGTCCTATAAAATAAAGGAATTTTAAACTGATAATAAAAGGAGGATCATCAAGGTTTGTTTGGATGTTTAAAAATCTTTATTCATACTTCCAGTCTCTACTTCACATGAACCAGAAAGCCACTTCTGTTTTCGGTTTCTATGAGGCAAAGTCATCAGCAAGTAAAACCCACGCGCAGCGCAGGCCCGATTCTTTTGTCGGTGCGATTGTGTCCACACCGCAGAAATACACAACATATACTTGCAGTATATTCATCTTGTGTATGCATCTCACTAATAGTCTAGAGATGAAAATATATTCTAAAATAAAAAAAACAAAAAAACAAAAAGACAATAATACAGTAGAATCGCTTAAAAAAAATACAGCAGAGCATGTTTTCTCAAGACACACTTGAAGAAGAGCGTTTTCCCAGGAGTGTTGATCAGTGGTCGTTTTTTTTAAAGAGGTCAAACCACACAATCTGTTAGTTATCTGTGATGAAAACTAAAAAGAAAGACAGAAGAACTAACTCTGGCCACTTGTGTTACACAGCAGCAACCATACAATCATTCATTTGACACAGGTTAACTGTGCGAGTGCAAGCTAGAAAAGAGAGACTGAAAGCAAACTGGGATTGATTGTTATTTGGATTTGTGCAAGACAAATTTTGCATAACTGTGGACATGTTGCAAATACATCCTTATAGTTTTCTATATCAAAATCAAGCTCTTAGAATAGGCATGGACAGGTTACGTAAATCAAAGTGTACCATGGTTTTAAAAATGTACTGTTTCGAAACAGCTAGAACCCTCCATCATATTATTCCTGCAGTTTAAAATATTTTTTTAGGAGATGCCAAGAGCATCTCCTGAGTTAAGCATAAGATTTGGAGGAAATGGAACCATTTCGCCACCTGTTTATTGTGCACTGCTGGTCAGGTGGCTAAACAAAGGTTACTGGACATTTATCTCACTCAATTCTCAAGACCAATTTAACTAGAAATGTTCTCCCTTACAGACAACCAATGTGGAAACTCGAGGAGCTCCACTCATTATGCTTTTGACAATAATGTTATAAAGGCTGTAATCAACAGGCTACATATGACATTTTGGTTAAGCATCTGAGTGCAGGTCGCCCTACAGGTCAGGTAGCCCTACCAATTTACCAATTAATACAACTGATTAATATAATATTTCTATTGATGTGTTGCTCTATTATCTCAACAGCAAAAAAGTCTTAAACTCCAGGCAATGGCTTGTTTAATTTAAAACATACCACTAAATTTTGCATGTTTAATCTGCTAGTCTAAAATAAATAAAGTTAAGGACAACATTATTATAACTGTAATAATATTAAGCATTATAATTTAGCAGAGTTAATTTTTTCCTTTTTACTTTAATTAAGATAAAAAAAAATCATATGGATTTGTTTTCACTTGTTTGAGTAAATACCATGGTACTGTAAATGCAAAATTCTGATATCAATGTTATGAAACATGAGTGTCAACCTGGCCCATGCCTATCTGATAATATTCAACTTTTTTAAATGAAAAACACCAGCTTGAGTGAAAACTCTTAAAAGCATACCTTTAAAGCATTTCAGTCATATTTCCATTGAGGAAAACATGACATTCTTTCACCATTACTTACATGAAGCACAGCTTCTCTGTAATCATCATTTTAAACATTCAGACTTTTATATTTCTCTCTGTTATCATGACTCTGTGCCTTCTTTGAAGATACAGTAAACACATCAGATATCCAGCCCTTAAACTTCTCTCCTTGTTTAATCATAACATAGAGCAAAATTCAAAATTCACCTTTTCCTGCTTTATCATGAAAATAGAGATGAAATCCCAATTTTTACACAGGATGTGTTGAGTATAGATCCCAGTTTCAAACACTTCGAAGGATTTTAGAAGTTATAAATCTCCACTGTGGCATTTCCTCTACATTCATCTCAAAACCAAACCATTAAGTTATGTCATTCTCTACCTGAAAAGGCCTTAAAGCGCTTTACTTTATGAGAAGGAATAATTTTCGTTCCAAATCCTTGAAAGTGCAGTACTGGGACCTTTTTTAAGAAAACTAAACTCTGAAACAATGCATCTCATTCCTTACATACATATAAGTGTATGTTTTTATATATATATATATATATATATATATATATATATATATATATATATATATATATATATATATATATATATATATATATAGCTACATGATGAAAAACTCCATTCAAAACGATGTGAGAAAGTGTGATGGTGCAATTTTAATCTTAACTTTTGGTTCAGTAAGTTGTGTTTCATGCTTTTATTGCACCTAGAAAGACACTGTGAATGGAAAGAATTACAATAATCAAAATTTAAAGGGATATTTTGACATTTTGAGAAACATTATTAAAACTACATGCATTATTTTTTTATTAGTTAGAACTTAAATTTAGAGATGTCAAGTTTTCTATGATTTGTCTTGTTTTTTTATTCTCTAAATAACTTTTACAGACACAGAATTGGTGCAAATCATCACTGACCTTTGTCAAGATGTCTAAAGGTCTGTATTTAACCAATAGAGATCAGGCTACTGTAATGGAGTGGTAACATGAGCGAAGGACTTGCCCACAGATGTCAAATCAAAAGTTTTTGTACAACTGTGACCTTCTTCTAAGAAACACTTTAAATAATGTGTTTACTTTTGCAACCAATCACTTTATGAAAGCAGGGATTCATTTTTTCATCACATGAATCTGAATCACTTTGGAACAAAACTCTTCGTACTGTAAACTGCACCAATGTGGGACTATAATGAAAGGCGACACCCAAAATGCATAAGCAGAAAAAAAAAAAAAAAGGCAGTCCGGCTGCAGAGAGCCAGAAATAAAAGGAGTAAAAGTAAGAGACATACGAGTGTGGAATGGTAAAAATGTCACACTTTCCAGCACACATGTGTAAGCACGCACACGGAACCCACTCTCTCTCATTCTCTCACACACAGACACCCACCCATACACACCCAAACGAAAGAGCGCGAATATAATCGCGCAAATGCAGAGTCATACTTGCACACTGGACATGTCACAGACATATCTGGCATGCATTTCTTAGAAGAAAACACTTTTCATTAGAAACTCTAACTTGTCTCGAGCGCTGAGAATTTCAGTTTGTACATAAATTAACAATAAATATAGCTCATGTATTTATATATGCTTATATTGAAATATATATAATAAATAATGAAATATTCTTATATATTTCAAATATATTCATAGAATCCTTTGCAATTTGAAACATCTATAAAGAGATTTCATCACAGTTTAGTAATAAAACATATAAGATCTTCCTACTGGCCTGGCTGCAGAGTCCCCAATTTAATTGTTAGAAGACGTATTAAACATCTGACCAAGTCCTAATAGGCTAATACATTCCACTTCATCAGGAGGAGATATAATGCAAAGTTGTAGTTAGTAACCATCTGACTGGTTCTGCTGATAAGACAAAGTGGAATCTTAGTATTCCACAGATGAACATTTTGACATGTTGGTCTGACAGGGAGCCAGCCCTGACAGGATCCATACAGGCCAGGTTTAAACAAGGCAACAGGGAGGGATCAGTAAAGCTCGACTCCCGGTTCTAACACCAGTTCTGTTTCGTTAAACCTGCGCTCGGATCAGCTGGGGGCTTCGTTAAAGGGACGCTACAGCGTGGACTCCGAAGGGACGATTCATTTTTGGAACAGTCAAGAGAGTTTAGGACTCTGGGTCTCTCTTTTTCTATTCTTTTTTTTTTTCTGACATACATAGACTGGAACTGGACCATATTAACACTGACTGAGGACTATGGTTGTCTACATGCATGCAGTAGTTCCTTCTTTATCTCGGAGACTCTCCGGTTCACATGGCTTACAGTAGGATGCACATAAAAATAAAAAAAGAGGAGAAGAGAACAGTTTCCCTACTGGTGTTAAGAGCGAGAAAGTCTCGCCTCTTCTTATGGTGCCTCAGAGATATCAGGGATACCTCCAGTGCTCCCCTCTCTGGGGCACTTTAACTTCCATGCTTGGGAAACCACTACCATCCCTTCCTTTGTGACTTTGGACCCGCTCACTGTTGGTCCCGCCTCCCTCCCTGCCCCTGTCCTGCTGCTGCTGTCTTCATACCACTTGACAAACAAAACAGGTCCTTGTATTGCACGGCATGCCCTCATGGCCTTGTGGTGGTGTGTCAGTGATAACGACTTTTCTTCTCCTCGGTCTCAGAGCTGTAGTCTCTCAAACCAATGCCTCGCTGGAGGTTCAATAAAGAGTCTTTCATCTGAAGACGAAAACATGAGGAAAGAAAAACAAAACACCAAAGCATTAAAAACAGGAACAATATTATGAACTACAAACCTCTATCATACAAGAAAGTCCCACAAGCCTCCAGCATCTGAACACAGCTGAAAATTAAAGATATTGTTCAGTGATATTTAAGGGTGTTTAATATTTTTGTGCTCCTGAATTTGTTGTCTTTAAAGGATAACTATTTTTATTTTTCCATGAATATTTCTAATTTCTGTTCGTGCCCTTTAAGTGGATTTTGGATTTCTATGTTATTTTTACAATTAAGGTTGGAAGCCCACACTGAAATTAGCTGATTTGGACAAATTATCGAATTACTTTGTGTCTAATTGTTTTATTTGAACTTTAAGGCAATTCAATGTTTTTATTCATCCTCAAATTTCAATCTTTTTTTTTAAATATAAATGACACCTGACAACCATTTGCAGGCTGTTCTTTATACTGTTCTTTGTTTGCTTTACTTTTTTTTTGTCTGTAAAGATCTAAAACAGATGCACAAAAAAGGTTAACGCCAGAAGTTGTGGAAAAAAGGTAAGAAAACCTAAACCTAAAATAATGCCATGGGTTTAACCCCCGTCTCTGAGAGATAAATGTAACCATAACATTGGTGGATTAAAAACCTAAACCTAAGAACAGTGGATTTTCATAAAATTCCTGACTTCCAGTGTTTACTTCTCCCCTGTCCATGTAATACGGAATCAGATGTGTCTTCAAAATTCAATTTTCCTTAGCCAATAAACGACTCACTTCTTTGTTCCCTTGAGGTCAGGTTAGTGGAGTACTTTACTAATTGTTGCCATGCCTCTTTGCTCCGTTATTCAGAGGTTTATGGTTGTAAAAAAGAATGAAATGTTAGAAGTGAGAAACATAGCGACTTTTTATAGCCCTTGTTAATGTGAAATGGCAAATATTACATTAGTGTAGATACATTTTTTGAGGTTAATGCAATGTTGAATGAACGTAGCATTATTTCAATCAGCTTTGTTAATTTCACACAAGGTATAAGGATTCAGAACTGCTCTTCCTTTTCTATGTATTGTTATTTTGTTTAATGCATGGCTAATTTGTTACAACAGAGTAGACTTCTAATAAGCTCCATGTTCTGCATATTCTGAGCTGCAGGATCTTTGCAGGAAGGGGTGGAGAAGTAATAACAGGCCTCCTGTCTCATATTCCTTCACCAAACACAGGTCCATAGAGACGTGATGTTTGGTGAAGGGGCCGTTTAACCCTTCAGCTTCAGTTGAGTCAAATTACAGCAGGGCCAATCCTCGGACATTTCTCACGATTAGAAGCCGGTGAAACCCCCTCTTTGTGTTGCAGTACCTGGTCCAGCAGCACTACTGACGACTTTATGATGTCTCTCCACTTCTGCAGTTCGGCGTCGTGGTAACGCTGCTGCGCCTCCAGGAGCTGAGCCCACTCCATTTGGGTCTGAGGCAGCTTACTGAGAATCACACACACACACAGAGGCAACATGAGGGTGAAGCTGCTGAAGCATGATTTCCATTTGGAGCGACTGCCAATAAACAGTTCGGTAAATTGTTTCAGTAAGCCCAAAGCTATTCAGGGGTAATTTTAGACACAGTGTTTTCCTGTCACATGAACAACCATATGGATATAGTTTAGTCTGTATGTCTGAGTGGGTGTGTGTGTGTTTGAGATTGAATTTGTGGCAGCCGCCGGTGCAAATAACAACAGCAGAACTCTGTTCAGGCTCTACCCTGATTGGGTTTTCTGTCTCCTCATGAAAGTCCATTAATCATTTTGAACTGCTTTCACAAAAGACTTCTGTATTGATAACAAGCATGTGCTGATGATGAATCTATCCCTATGTACCTCTCCTGAAGCCGCAGACTTTGCCATGTTGTTAAGGACTGTGCAGAGTACTCGAGCATCCAAAGCTTGTAGAAGAGCATCATGTTGAGGAACACCAGGAGGACCAAGCTGGATAAGGTCAGGAACAGCAGGGAGAAAACAGTTTAAACACTGAGGTCTCTGTGTTCAATTTAAGAGTATCACAGCCGAGCTGCACCACTGATTAAAGCCATGTGAAGAAGTAGGAATTTATAGCTATGTCCAAAAATCTGAAATTATTTTTCATTTCTTAGTATCTTCTTTCCAAAAAGAAACTTGAGGCTAAGCAGCAGCGGATTGAAATCAATAGATCTGGCTCTCTGTATGTCATGCAGGATTAATCTTATTATTCATACAACATTGTTTCTCAAATTTACTTACTTTGTTACTTTTAAATAATTACAAAATTATTACAAATTTCCCTCTCGTATTTGCTTAATTTAGACGAAAAGAACAACTCAACTTAATCAATTTATTTTGCAGACCATCTCTGTTACCAAAAGGTGATATTTTGTGACTAAGAAATCAATTGTAAAAAAAGTTGAATAAACATGGATTTATTAAAAAGCTTCCTTGGTCTCTCACTGGAGGTTACAGAGAGAGCTTGTTGCCAAAATGTTTAGGTGTATAATCTGAGACTAATTAAAGGGGAAAAAGGTCTGAACAGGAAAATCATGTGAAGTAACTCAAAGCCTCTGAATCCCCTGGTGATCCACGGCCTGAGCCAGAACCTCAGGGTTAGCACCACAGAAGATGGTTTCTATTGTGGGCCAGACCAGGCTTTTCTCTGATTATTCTAGTTCTGCCTGCGCAGATGAGTTCTGCTGCTCTTGGCTTTTTTAGATGACTAATGGCTCCTTTATGTTAAATTACAAACAAACCTATATACTGGAAGAAATTATTTAAATAATATTGAATGCATTAAAGATTTATATGTAAATTTGACAAAACTTTCAATGATTTAACCCAGGATTTAAAGGAAAACAAGCCCATAATGCACAATGAATAGGGCAAGATTAGGAGTATTGGTTCTTACTGGGCATAACTTCTGGCTGTCCGTGTTTTTGTTTGAGAGTCAGCGCTCATCTGCGCAGCTCTTTGCACAAGACCTCATGATCATCTGTAGGGTTCAAACAAGGACTGGGGCTTGGAAGTTACTCCACCAGTAAAATGTTCCAAACCAACTCAGAAAATAGTCAAACCAGTAGTTTGAGCAAGGTTTAGTTGGTAACAATTCCCACTGGTTACCTTAATCTAAGGGAATGCTCCATCAGGACACAGGGGTCATAATCTTCATGGATTGAAATGAGTGATGCGCGGTGGAAGGATAAATGAGTCATAATGAGGGGTTTGTGGTTGAATTTTCCTTGCATAACTATAATATTAAAATCTACTGATCTTAAAATTTATGATCTAGACATATTTTAGTCATTTAGAAGAAGCTTATTGGTAGATAAATTACTTCTGAATTAAACCGGTTTCCTATTCATGGCTCAAAACGTACTAATTCAAAGGAATAAAATAACAGGTTTAAAGGCTGAATCCCCTTATTAAAGTTGATCAGCTATTTAGGATCGTTATCAGTTAATTAATAGAAAAATGTATTTGCAAACATTCTGAGTTAATTAACATTCATCTAAAAAGTCCATCAATGGCGTTTAGGATATGGTTATATGTGTGAGAAAAGCCTGATCTGGGTGTCTGTGGTCATTAAAGTAGAAAGTTTAAGTATAAAGAAGCCAAAGGTGGATTCAGTTTTTTTACTTCGTGAGGCCCTGGATAACAACAAGACATATACCTGAGACAGATCCTTCAGATTGCAGTAGAAGGAAGAGGAGAGAAAAGTTACACTTAGGGACATGATAATAACAGACAGAGTGTGCACGGTGCCTCTACATGAATGACCTTTGTTTGGATTTATGTGTGTGTGTGTGTGGCATACACAAAGCTGATGATAAGCAGCAGTTTGGAGACACTGTACAGAGCTAGGCCTCCTGGCAGGTGATGGTGTTCTGGACTTTGGTGCCTGGTCTGCGTGGAGCCCACCACATGTTTGATTCTCTGAATCACTTCCTCGTCTGTCGGCGTGGTAACAGGGCTGAGGGCCTCATCCAGGTGTTGGCTGCGCATGTGGGGAAGGGGCCTCTTCTTCCGCCTCACCGTAGCATTCTTCACCACCTTGGCCTTCGGAGACAGCTGGTGGGTCTCCATCAGCTCCTCCAGCTTGGACAGCTCCACCTCTAAACAGGAGAAAGGACATTTCTGTTATGTCAAGATGGGAGGAAGTTTAGCAGCAAAATAAAAGCATCTGCACCTATGTAGTGAAGAACTCCATGGGAGGATTCAGGATCGGTGCCTGACTTCAGTGAGCAGCCTGGTGCTTCAATCAGGCAAACCAGCAATTAGCTGCGCGTGGAGGCTTAACACACGACTAATTTGTCTGCAGTGATTTAATGTTTGCAGCTTGTGCCTCTGTCATCAGCACTGGCAGATATTTGTCTTGCTGCTTCTCTGTAATCATGTACTCAGGCTTATCTGCTTTGCATAAACACTTGTAAATGTTTATCAAATTCCAGATCAAAACTGGATTTTTGTAGCCTTATGGGTTTATATGTAGAGAGGGGCTTGTCATTATCACCACATTAAACAACGTTGTTTTTTTTCCACAATAAATAAAGCTGAGGTATTTTAGTTACATGGACATGAAGTTGGGACACTTCATGCAGGTTCGATTTTCCTCTTAGTTGTCTTATTCCTACTGTCTACTGACGCTCTTTTTTAGGTTTTAGCAGGCTTTCCTTGTATTGAATGAATTGAAACCCTGTGAAAAAGTAGTGCATGAGTATTAATTGTAAGTAAACTAATACATTTTCTCCTAAAAGGAGCATTTAGTTCCATTAATCCACAAATCTAGAATTAACTCCCCGGCTTATAACCCTCAGTTGCTTGAATTGAGATTAAAAACGTATTTGGATAGGCCTTTTACTGTGCTGTCTAAATATTATTAGTTGCTGGTTTAATGTTTGCTCCATTTTCCTACTTATTTAAAAAAATATATATATATTTCAGAAAAATCATTGTTTTTTAAATAAAAGCTTATATTTTAAGGTGTCACGTTTATTCTCTTTTACTATTTGTATTGGCTCTTTGTCATTGCAATGAACTATAATTTTTTTTCTCATGTATAGCACTTTTAATTATCTAGTCAAAGAAATGTGCGAGTATGGTGACAATTTGTATTTAGGTTGTTTAAAATGATTCCCCCCAAATTTAGTGGCACCGACTCCCTTTAGATGCATATTAAGCAGTAGTTTGAGTTCACAACAAATGTGTGGAAAAAATAGGCTTTTGTCTCATGAAATTAAAGTTGAATTTTCAAGCCTACTGAAAAAAACTATATATTGGAAAAAAAGACCTGACTGGAGAAGACCAGAAGTTGGGTTGTTAGCCTTTTAGCAGAAAAATAATGTAAACATTTATGTAGACCTACAGTGAATGGTTTATGGAAGCATTTATATGAGTTGAAATCACCCAGTCAAAGTTCGTACCTAAACCAAACTGAGCTTCAACTATTTTAATCTTCTGGACCAGATCTGTGTTCAGACTGTTTTATTCAAGTTGATTTATTGTTAATTAAGATCATTGCTTCATATGAACCTTGGATTTGTTAACTTGACCATTATGCAACATAACTGCTTACAGCAGGCTTATCTTTTCTCTACTATCCCTGTTTTAGATTTGATCAATTTATGCCTTGTCAACATATAATTACTAAAAGATTTCAAGACTGCTGTAATTCAGCCTTCACTTAAAAGGATAGTTCGGTATTTTTGACATGAATCTGTATGGCATCCCCATCACCAGCGGCATGCAATCACACTGACTTACCCCTGGCAACATCCTGTGAGCAGAGTTCTCGTCCAGTTTTGGTCAAGCCAAAAGTAGTCCGGCAGGTTT